ACTACACATAAATTTTGTAAAATGAGTTTTTACTACAAACAAGTTTTGTGAGAGGCCAAGAGGGATATCCAGGACCTAGACCACAGAGGCTGGGGTAGCTCTTAAGGGGAAGGTGATCTCACAGAGCAGAGGTTTTGAGTTGGAGCTCCAGCCTGCACCAGCTGTGGAACCTTTGCAGATTATTTCATTTCACTCAGCCTCAGTTTCTTCACGTATAAACTCTACTTCACATGTTGTTTGAGGCATTAATGAAATTTGAGGGGTATATAAGCTAGGATGATCAAAATATATGGTGATGGTTGAAATTTTTAAAATTTATAAAAGACACGTTGCCGTAAATTCCTCTAAAAGTACTCCTCGCTTCAAACACACCCCATTGTTCTTTGCACTTCTTAAATCTTGAATGTATATTAGTACATGTTTACAGTATATCATGATTCATTCATTGTAGACAGTTGGCACACATACATAGCACATCTTATTTCTTTTTACTTTCCCTTCCCCTCCTCTCCTTCTCCCCTGCATCTCTTGGTCCCCTTCTCATTTGCAAAAGGTCTGTCTTCCTGTCTGGTCCCTTTCTGAAGCAGTTCTAGAAGTCCTCTTTACAAGATATGATCAAAAATATGGTGAGTGGTGCTGTCATGTGCCACCAAATAGAAAGGCATGCTTGTGAAAACATTACAGTGTGTCCTTGTCCACCTTAATCACTGGATCTGACACCAGGCAACTTCTGACTCTTTCCCAAAGTCAAAATGACAAGGAAGGTGAACAGTTTGAATTCAGGACATAGTGGTAGCCTTGGCATTGTAACTAAAGATAGTTACGAAAAAGGACTTTCAAAACTGCCTCAGAAAGTGGCAAGAGCAATGGGATAATTGCAAAGGGGGGGGTGTCTTGAGGGGGATTAATGGCACTGTGTCTTTTACTATAATAAATATTTTTTAAAATTTAAACATTCACTATATTTTTCAATCATTCCTCATATATATGGAACAGAATAGCATGTGATAGTCACTGAAAAAACAGTGTGGAAGGCCGGGCAGGGTGGTGCACTCCTGTGATCCCAGCACTTGGGAGGCTGAGGCAGGAGGATCACCATGAGTTTGAGGTCAACCCGGACCACATAGTGAGTTCAAGGCCAGCCTGAACTACATAGTGAGTCTCTGTCCCCAAAAAACAAGACCGGAGATTTAGCTCAGTGGTTCCACCGCCTGCCTCACAAGCGCAAGGTCCTGAGTTCGATCCCTGGTACAAAAAAAAAAAAACGGTGTGGAATACAGTCAGCCTTCTGTGTACCTAGGTTCAGTCAACCACACATTTAAAATGTTTGAAAAACAATTGTGTTTATACTGAACATGTACAGACCTTTTTTTCATTTTCCCTAAATAATATAGTATAGCACGTATTTACATAGCATTCATTTTGTATTAAGGATTATATTTATCTAGAGATGATTTAAAATATATATGAGGAGCCAGCCTTGGTGGTGCACACCTGTAATCCCATTACTTAGGTGGTTGAGGCAGGATTGCTGCAAGTTTGAGGCCAGCCTGAATACTCAGCAAGACCCTGTTTCAGAAAGATAAAAGTAAATTTTAAAAGCCAGACACGGTGGCACACGCCTGTAATTCAGCCCTTGGGAGGCTGAGGCAGAAGGGTTGCTGCAAGTTCAAGGGCAGTCTGGGCTACATAGTGAATTTAAGACCAGCCTGGACTACACGGTGAGACTCTGTCTCAAAAAAAAACTTAAATAAGTAAAAATATACATGAGAATAGTTGCAAATGTTATGCCATTTTATATTAAGGAGTTTGAGCATCTTTGAGGGGGTATCCAGGAACCATTGCCCTACAGACACTAAGGAACAACAAACTGTACATCCATTTTGGGGTTCTAATAGAGAGGAGTTGGTCTCACAGAGCAGAATTTTCCCAACAGAGGGAAAGGTATATGCAAAGCCAGATGGTTGAACTGGGGCCTTGGTGGAATTAGAGTGTTTAATCCAGTTGGAATGCAGAGTGCATGTGGAAGAAGTGGCTGGAGGTTAAGCTGTGAAGGGAAGCAGGGTAGGAGCTTTTATGTCATTTTGAAGATTCTGAGAGACACTTAGGAAATGCAGAACCTTTGAAGGCATTAAGTGTCTACTGTAGTTCTGCCAGTTAAAGGGCTTGTTTGCTATACATGTGTGGCATAGCTGGGAAAATTTCTTAGTGCTAGGATATCCAGTAAGGGTGGTGATAGTCACCTAATGTTGGAACCACGTGGAGAGCTGTAATGGCCTTGTCATGCCCAGGTTCACCTCACGCTCCAGCCACTGCTGTTGTTTATTCTTCCTGGTGATTGCATTGTGCAACAGTGAACCACTGAGTTGGGGGATCCAAATAGTCAAACCAAGTACCGTTCCGTTCCAAATTAAACAAGTGCTGGATGCATAAAGGAAGCTGAGTAAGGAAGGCAGTAACAAGCAGGATGTGCCAGTCATTTGAAGACTGTTTCAGGATTTGGTCACTGAATAGCTGATCGAATACTAAGGCTCAGTTACTTATTGATAGTGAAAACCTGAAGGAGAAGCAGATTAGAGTCCTAGGCCTTGCTGAGCAGACATGAGAAAGATGAGTTCTGTTTTAACATGGAATCTGAGGGAAGTGATCCACAATGGCAAAGGAATAATTGAAAATTCAGAAGACAGTCCTGTTGTAGATCACAGATGGGTGAGGTCTCTTGGGAGCCAGAAATCCCGAGCAGAGGTTAAAGAAGTCACTTATTTGAGAATGAGGGATATTTCCATTCAGAGAGAAATAACTAAAATTAAGAGGGTACAAATGAATTCACAAGTTAAGAGGTAATTTTGCCTGATGGCCTAATTTCCTTACTGTGGGTGATAGGAATATCTGCTGAGAATTGAGAGGTAAGGGAAAAAAGTAAGAAGGGGGGGATTAAGGAGTGTGGTCAGGCTCTGGAAGAGAAAGGATGAGGGCCATCTGAGGAAGCAGGCTGAGAAACCGATGTTTCTAGTCTTGCTCTTAAGTACTGATTTCCCACAGGGTTTCTGTTGTTGGCCCTCTTTCACAAACATCCTAAGTGATCTCTTTTTCTTTGGTTGCCCTGATACCTTCTAAGAGAAACATTAGCTCACCGGTTTCCGCCGCCTGCTGCGCAAGCGCAAGAACCGGAGTTCGATCCCTGGTACCAAAAAACAGCTGATCCCTGGTACCAAAAAACAGCTGAAGTTGGCCAGAGGAGTTCACTAGCTGATAACACTGTAGTGTAGAAAATAATTGATTGGCTTTTTACTTTGGGAGAAATTATCTTGGTATCACTGTACTATGTTAATTTGAAAGAGTATACTCATTGTTTCTCTGGTGTGAGAAACCAAAAGGGTAAGTAAAGGCCAAAATGTATAATAAATATTGGGAAATAGGAAGAAGATGCTCAAATGGGAAGGGGAACATGGGAGGGGGCAGGGGGAAAGGAAGGAAGGGAAAAAAAGACTAGAAGGAAAAAAATGGAAACAAACCGCTTCTAAATAAGGAAGCTTAGAGAGGTTAAAGGGAGGGGAGGAGATTGAGGAAAAAAGAAGAATCAAGATATATTATGTATAGGTACAAATTCCCTATGATGAATGTGATCATTATGTATATCTAAAATATACCAATAAAATTAATCTAAAAAAATAAAAGTGAGATTCACGGGAGACTGGAACAGGAAAAAAATTTTGAAAGAGTATTGAAATAATTTGAAAACACTGTAGGATCTCATATTTTTAGCATCATCTAGCATTATGGTTTTTTTCTTTAATATTATAAAAGTTTTATAAACCTATGAAATTCACACTTTGAAGATGTGTGAGCTTTTATTTTTATATGAGCTTTTAGTATCAATATTTTATATGATGAATTTGAAGATATATTTTTCTTTTCACATTATACTTTTCCTTTTTTGTTTCTGTGACATGTGTCTTTTTTTTTTTTTTTTTGGTACCAGGGATCAAACTCGGGTCCTTGCGCTTGCGAGGCAGGCAGCAGAACCACTGAGCTAAATCCCCGGCCCAGACATGTGAATTCAATTTTTTTTTTTTTTTTTTGGTACCGGGGATAGAACTTAGGACCTTGTGCTTGTGAGGCAGGCACCAGAACCACTGAGCTAAATGCCCGGCCCGACATGTGAATTCTTGATATGTGATATTAAAGTTTTTGTACTCCTATAGGGCTTCCCTTGGTTTTTGTTGTTTTTTTAAAATTTTTTAATTTTTTTTGTTCTTTTGAGACAGCAGCTTGCTATGTAGTTCAGGCTGACCTTGAACTCACCGTGTAGCCCAGGCTGGGTTGGAACTCAACAGTGATCCTCCTGCCTCAGCCTCCTGAGTGCTGGGATTACAGGCATTCGCCACCTCACCCAGTGGTTTTAGTTGTTTAAATGGACTAAATTTCTCTAGCTGGGCTTGGTAGCATGTGTCTGTAATGCCTACTATTTAGGAAGATTGTGATTTTGAAGGCAGCCTATGTAACATAGCAAGACACCATTTAAAAAAAAATCTTATTTCCTAACTCTTCATATAAACTAATTTGCATTATGTATGATTTGTATTATGTATTCTTTAAATATTTTTCCTCTAGGGCCGGGGATTTAACTCAGTGGTTTCACCGCCTGTTGCACAAGCGCAAGGACCCGAGTTCAATCCCCGGTACAAAAATAAATAAATAAATAAATAAATAAATATTTTTCCTCTAAAAGACCAATTAACAGTCCATTTATTGTGAAATAAATTGGAATTATTTATTTTATGTATTTCTTATAAATAAATTACTCAACCGAAGTAGTCATGTTCACTGTAGCGAAGCACTTTAAGTGGGTTTTCTGTAAGTCTTCTAGTTTATAATATGCTTCTTAAGATACTGGTAAACTACTTTTAGCAAAAAGGATCAGGACCACGTCTACATATACAGCAGGTAGACTTGATATTGCAGAACACTGACTGAGTGTTGTTTTAATATCATTTCAGGTAACATTTCATTTGTTGCATTTCCAGTTTCCAGCACCAACTCACCAACAAAGATTTTACCAAAAACCTTAGGACCAATAAATGTGAATGTTGGACCCCAAATGGTAAGAAAATTATCAAATCTTACGATTGAAACTGTGCTTAGGTATAATTGATTTAAAGGATAATTGTACTGAAGCTGTTTCATCAAATATCTCACTTGATTTCAGTTATCATAGTCACTTTTAAAAAAACATTTTTCTTTTTATCTGACTGTAGCTGATACAAGTCATGACAAAAAGATGTTATGCTCTTCAGTGTTTAACTTTCACGTATTTGAGTCTGTAAGTTCTTGGTGTTTGATAGTAAGTTTTTGCTCCTTATATAAAGCTTCTCTTGGTTTTAGTGGTTCAAATTGATTTAAATCTGTTATGTTTATATTTTTTTTTCTTGCGGAGAGGGGTGTTGTTGTTTTGAGACAGACTTGTTATATGGACCAACTGGCCTCAAACTCACAATCCTCCTTCCTTAGCTTCCTGAGTACTGAGATTACATGTGCCACCATACCTGACTTCCTTTTTTCTTTTTCTTACAACTTTTCCCTAAAATATAATTTCATATAAATTGAATATATGAACCATAGTTCATTCTATATAGCTGGAGGTACTAATTGGAAAATCTTTGCATTAGAGGACAGGTGAGGAAAAACAATACACTAATTCATCTTTAGCAGTAGAAATAATGGATAAGAAATGGTTCAGTGTTTCTCTAAAGGCATTCATTAATTCTGCTAGAGCTTGAAGTATGTAGCACTTTCAGAAAGTCCTACTTATAAGCCGGGCATGGTGGGATGAATCTGTAATCCTAGCACTGTCGAAGGCAGAGGTGGGAGGATTGCAGATTCTCTCAGTTTGGGCAATTTAGTGATTTAGTGAGACCTTGTCTCAGAATAAAAAAGGGCAGGGTATATAGCTCAAAGAAAGGCCACAGGCAGGAGGAGAGAGGCAGAGCAAGGGAGGAGGAAGAAGAGAAGGAGGAAAAAAATTCTCATTTATAAATGAAGTTGAATTCAACTACTCTTAAGACTATACCTAATTTAAATAACCTCCCCCACCACTAACAAAAGAACTTAGACATTTAAGGAATAATTCTTTTCTTTTTTTTGAATAATTCTTTACTGTCAGTGTTTACATCTTTTCATCTGAGAGTAGTAAGGATGAACTTTGCCCATAATGTGCAGTATTGTGGACTACATATTAAATGCAAAGTTATTTAGATAAAAATTTTTTTAACAAATTGAATGGTTTCAGAAACTCTTTAAGACATTCTAGACGTGACATTTTCCTTGGTCAGTTGAGGACTATTAATCTTCTGTAGAATTCAAACTAAAAATAAAACATAATTTACTTTAAGTGTATGAAGAATATAATCTAGCTCCACTGTCATAGAGACTGAAGCGCAAACAAATGTCCCCATTTCAAGATAGCTCAGGGTATATTTTCAAACATTTGCTAAACATGTGCCCCTGCCCACCCACTGCAGGTGTGAATGGATAAGACATCCTGACTGAAGTCTACCTATAGATAGATGTGTCAATATCTATAGATATCTATCTAATATTTTTGGTTTGTTTTGGTTTTTTTGAGATAGGGCCTATGTAGTTTAATCTGCTCTTGAGCTTGCTATGGCAGCCCAAGCTGGTCTCAAACTCACAGTAGTCCTCCTGCTTCAGCCTTCCTCGGTTGAGTGCTAGGATTACAGGTGTGTGCTACCATTCCTGGCTTCGAAATATAATTTTATAAGCCCCCCAATTAAACATATTTTTTGAGTCTGGCCTTTATAGTACTCCTATTTTGAAAAGCCTTTTTTTTATATATATATATTTTAGTTTATGGTGTGACTCAAATTTAAATTCTTCTTTTCTTCCTCTGTCAATTTGAACAAATGTGCGTGTAAGCCCTTAAACAGTTCAGTTCTGGCAATGATAAGAGTCACGCCTACTAACTCAGTTACTACATCTTAGGTTGGGTAGGTGGACACAAGACAGAAGATTTGGGGCTCTTCCTTAAACTGGGCCACCTAAGGCCTTAATTTGTCTACCTACTTCAGAGGTGCTTTGTTCAGTTCTGAGTTCATGGCAGGATCATAGTTTCTTTTTGTTTTCCTAATTGTTATAAAGCCCATCTTAATGTGTCCCTTCCAAATTCTTGTTGAAGCCTACTCCCCATTGTGGTGATAAGGAAGAGGTTGAGCCTTTGGGATTAAGTTGTGAGGGTGCTGCACTCAGGAATGGGATTACTGCCCTCACAAAAGAAATAAAAGGGAGCACCCCAGTCCATTCTGCCAGGAGCACACATAGCAAGAAGATGCCAACTAAGTAGGGTGACCCTTAACCAGACTTAAAATCTGATTCCTTGATCTTTGACTTCCCATCTTCAGAACTGTGAGAAAGAAATTTCTATTTATAGATTACCTAAATAATAGATTTATAGATTAGTATTTTGTTATAGTGGGCAAAGACAAATTGGTACTGAGCTGGAGTGCTGCTTTAACAAACACCTGAAGATATGGAAATGGCTTTGGAATTTTGTCCTGGGCCAAGATAAGAAAAGTTTAGAGAAATAGGCTAGAATTGCCATGAATGGACCTTAAAGGGCAGCTGCAGTGAGCACTGGAAAAGAGCTGTGGAGAAAACTTCAGTGTTCTTAGCAGTTACCTCAGGGTAGAATGAGGGATTGTAAAGACCCTTCTGACATGGTCCCAGACAAAAATGAGGAACAAGCACTGGAAACTGAAGGAACAGACATCTTTGTTACAAAGTGGCATAGGACATGACTAAATTGTGTTCACAGACTAAAGTTTTGTGGAAGAAAGAACTTAGGGTCAATGAAATAACATACTGGACAGAAGAAATCCTAAGCAAGGTGCTAAAGGTAGAGCATTGTTTCTCTTGACTCCTTATAAGAAAATGTGAGAAGAGAGAAAAAGAATCATAAGTGGAATTTATAATTAGAAGGGAAGCAGAGCTAAAAGATATGGAAAATTCTCAGCCTGCTCAGGTTTTAAAGAATGGAAAACTCTTCTGGAGGAACACTGGAGGTGGGGCCGGTGACCTTTTGATAAATTAGTGTGCGTGGTTGGGACCCTGGTGCTCTTTATCAAGACAGTGGAAGACGGAACCAGATTGTGCTGCCTCACATCACAAACCGAGGAAGGCTTCTGGCTCTCACGGGACCTTGGCTGTTTTTGCCTGATGCCTCTAGTCTCAGCTCACCTGCAGGGTGTGGTGATGTCACAGTCCCAGCACTCTAGGAGCCTGAGGCAGGAGGATCACAAGTTTGAGCCCATCCTGGGCAGTTCAGTGACATCAGGAGACCCTGGCTCAAAATAAAAGAAGCACGGTGAGAAGGCCTTAGGTTCATTCCCTAGTACTGGAAGAAAAAAATTTGCTGCCCGCCAAATTCTTTCACAGCCCTCAACCATTCCATATATTCCTCCAGTGGGCCCACCTGGGGTGCAGCCTGATAGTCCTTAAGAGGACATAGGGTAAACCTTGGCAGTGTCCAGGATGCTGCCCTCTCAGCCATGCCTCCAGGACATGCTCGAGCTGTGGAAGCTTGGGTGCTTCAGCTGCATTTCACAGAATCTTCCCACAAGCCCCAGGGCCCAAGCAGAGAATTGCTACAGGGATGTGGCCACTGTAGAGAGCCCTCACTAGTTTAATTCTAGTGGAGCCCTGGTGCCTACCTAGACCCACAGGTACGAGACTCTCCACATATAGCTCGACAGTGTGGACCATGCCCAGCCAAACTGTGGAAGTGGGACCCCAGGTGCCTAGAAGGCCTGGCTGCTACTCTACTGTGTTCAGAAGGCAGGGCATCAGTCAAAGAAAATTGTTCTCAATCCCTAAGATTTAATGTTTTCTCTATTGATTTTTTTATTTTTTGAGACTGGGTCTTGCTGTGTAGTTCAGGCTGGCCTTGAATTTACAGTAATCCTGCCTCAGCCTTGCAGAGTGCTGGGATTATAGGTGTGCCCTACCACGCCCAGCTCTCTGTTGGGTTTTCTGCTTGGTCAGGACCTACTGTCTTTTTAAAAAAATTTATTTCTTTTGAAATGAGAATGCCTACCCTCTGTCTCTTCATTATACTTTGGAAGCACTTTGATTTACAGGTTTATAGCTGGAGGTTAATTTGCCCCAAGACAAATGCACTTTTGAGTTTCAAGCTTATCTTGATTTGAATGTGATTGGATCCTCTGAGTTGCTGGGACAAATTAGGATTTATAGAGTTTTGCAAAATTTACAGAGCGATTGGGATGAAATGAATATATTTTGCATATGAGAGACATGAATTTAGGGGCCTGATTTGAAGGGCCTGAAGTTAATGTTGAAACCTTATCCCCATTGTTGTGATACTAAGTTAAGGTGGAGCCTTGGGGGAAGTGATTAAGTCCTGATAGATGGATGGAATGAAGGCTTTTATAAAAGAGGTTGATGGGCACACCCTAGCCCCTTCGGCCCTGGGAGAACACAGCAGGAAGGTACCATCTGGAAAGCAGAAAGCTAACCCTCGTTAAACTGAATCTGCTGATATTTAGCCTCAGACTTACTCTCTGAAACAGTGAGCAATAAATTTATACACTTTATAAATTATCTAACCTAAGGTATTTCATTATAGCTTTCTGAATAGACTTAGAAACCCAGGTAGAACCATTTATTTGTTGTCTTCTTTCTCCCCTTTTTGTTTGATTTTTTGAAACAGGATCTTGCTGTGTAGCCCAGGCGGGCCTAGAACTCACAGCAATCCTGTCTCAGCCTCCCAGGTGCTGGGACTACATATGTGTGGTCATGCCTGGCCTTCCTTTTTTTGTTCACCGCCAGTGCCATTTGTTTTTTTTTTATTAATAAATTTTATTTTATTTTATCCCATTCCTTCCTCGAGTCCCCTCCCGTCCCTATGTACAAAAGCTTTGTTTCCATTTTTTCCTTTTTCTTGGTACCCAGGATTGAACTCAGGTCCTTGCATTTGCGAGGCAGGCAGTGGAACCACTGAGCTAAGTCCCCGACCCCTCCATTTTTTCCTCCTATTTTCACTTTTTTTTCTTGTCCCTTCCTTTCTTCCAC